TTCAACTCATATATACTCAGTTGTCTTGTTTATCATTTAATAAGCTCATATACTTTTATAAAAATCCTTATTCATGGGAAAAAATACAAAGTAGTAGACATATTTTGGTAAAAAATTCAATATATTGAAGGTTATACCTGTTTTTAAAAAAAAAATTAAAGTTTGCTCACACAAGCATAATAGGTGATTATTTTTTAATTGTAAAGTTCAGTATGTGGTGTGTTACTTTATTTTATACAAACTTACAGTTATGGGACCATCTTATTTCAAAGGAGCATCAACTGAAGTAAAACAGTATTTATGTAACTACGAAGCTTAATTTTGCCAAAAACGCGACAAACTGAATACAAAATCGATTTAAAAAGTTTTTATTTTCTTAATATACACAGTTTATGTTTATGGTCATTTGAAACTTTTCATAAACTGAGAATTTTCTAAACATGACCCAATCATAAAAAACTCCAATATCATTTATATATATATAAATAAAAAAAATAAAAAAAGTTGTATATATAATTTATTGTAGTTTTTTTTTATTAACAATGCACATACTAAGCCTGTCGAGTTTTTTCAGTATTACTATTTCATCATATTGGTGTGGTGTGAAAATATGTTCAGAATAAAGCTTTCATGGATTTTTATATCTAATTTGAAAAGAGTTTGATTAAGCTTTAATGAGCTGTATAGCTGGATTTCATGATAAATAAAAAAATATTGGTAGATAAGATCAGAATTTTAAAACAATTATAAACTATTTAGATATACTTGATGATTCTCTCATTTAAATACACTGCTGTGCGTATGGTCCAACAGTGACTGAAGTGTCTATTGTTATAATAAGAAAAAACAATGCTCATTATTTCAACAGCTTACCCACTGGGTTCAGGACTGGAAGATAAGTCACGCCTACTACTTGGCAAGATGGGAGATTCAGATAGAGTTCTTCGTCGTGGTATTGATGCATTACTTGAAATAATGCCATAAGAAAATGGTCCACTAGATTTTCTTGCATGGTGAGGCATGCTGTATCCATCTGTTCCACTGGACAGCTCTTCATGAGTCCATTTAGATGCAGACTTAGCTGGACTATCCACTTGACCTACTACTTGTTTTGTTCCATTAACACTAATAATACCACTTGGGGGTGAGTAAGTCTGTGCAAAAGTATGATGTGTGGGCTTAGGACTTATATACTGAGATGGTTTGGAGGTTGAAAGAGTAGAGTAAGTCTTGTAGGTTGGTGTGGTGGAAGGTGTAACAACATTAATTGGAGAGTTAGATAATGGCCTATCAGGAATGCTTTGAATTTCTCGAAGCATCCCATCCAACAGTTGATCAAGTTCTGCTTGTTCATCTTTTACAGAGGGAATTTCTGATGTAGGTTTGTGATTACTTTCTACAGTGGGTTGCCAGTGGACTTCTACCTCTGTAAAGAAACCACCATTCTAGTATGTTAGGCATATCCTGTAAATTCTAGTAACTCAAACCTTTTTCTGAGTGAACTTCATAACTACTTTTGACAGTAATACAGATTTCTCAAAATTTTTCAAAGTTACCCAGTTGTGGTATAGCAATTTGATGTATACTTCTTGAAGAAGTGACTTAAGAAACATTTCATCATTTTTTTTCACTTCAGAAGATTTATGATCTTGACTCAAATTTCAAGTGAAACTAATAAGGCTTAGAATCCAGTAAATGCTGCTTATGGAGGATTATAAAAGTAAGAACTTTAATTTATATGTATTAACCTCAGAATTATTGGTTTTATACTATACACATTTTCAAATTCAAACTGGGTATATTCTTAATCTAGATTGAAACATTTTAGGTTTATATTCTGTTTAATGCTGTCTTGATCTAACACTCAGCAGTAAATTCAGGTGAATTATAAGCTTAACATTTATCTGTCATTACATTATGGGTATTTTTGGAATGTATGTACCAAGTAAAGGAAAATGAAAATACCAGCTGAAGTTATTCATTATATTGTTACTAAGCGTGGGGGTAATTCAGAACAATACATGGAGTTAGGTATAATCAATTTTATTACTTATTTATCATTAATCTGGAGTAGGTGAGTCATGATATTTTTACCAAGATTATTTCAGATTTTGTACTTTTAGGTTTACAGGCATATTATTACCATAGCAACATTAAGCCTAACGTGACAACATTAGGCCTACTAAACTGTTTGTAATTTTAATATTCAATGTTACCACATAACCTATGATATTTAAACAAACAGTATATAATATTTAATATATAACAAAGCACTTGAATTAGAAATGCAGGAATTTCGACTAAGTAAATTTCTCACATTTTTTGAATCTAAAAAGTCTAATATACAGATTGTACTTAAATCAACTGATTGAGATTATCAATACAAGAACCTTTAGGAGATTTATAATTCTCAAATTTATAATAGCAGTAGAAGTAATAGTATCAAAATAATTGTATTTATATTGAGTACTTGGTGTTATATAAAAAATTAATATTATAAAAAGTAAAAGTGGTTGCTGTTGGTCCAGTTAATTCTCTCTGACCGGTGGTTTGGGATTAGGGGTGGCACCATGATACCACACTAAAAATGTACAGTGATAGGTCTACATTACTGATAGGAGGATAGTGTGTTTTGGCCCATTCTAAACTCCTCTAGCATGTAGATCAGTATAACAAAATCTGATCTTTTATAATGGCCTAAAAGTTTTGATATTTTTCTTTAGCTATTATTGAATAATTATCTACCATATGTTATATACAGATACAGATTTAATTACAAATGCTAAGTTATAGGTATAAGTACAATATGCCATGTGTTTAGTTAAAGTAAATTGCAGAATTTCCAACTGTATAAGTTTAGTACAGTTACCATAGTTTGTATAAGATTCTTCTATGCAGAATAAACATTTGGCACAACTGGAACCTGTAGAAAGTAGCCTAGACAGAAAATGTAGTGATTGGGCAAAGGACGAAGATAAAAGCATATATTTAAAGACCATGGTGTACAGTCACCTGTAATCATAGCTAGAGATAGCGAGACAACTGATTGAGCATTCATCATCTCATGGAGCAAGTACATTCTACACAAGGCTGAAGGACCATTCACGCTTCCCACAAGCAGCAGAAAAAATATAGATGGAAGCCATAAAGCAAGGTTTTCTCTGGCTTGCTAAAAGCAATGAACAGCAAATCTACGGTGCCACCAACATAGCATTTGTCATTTAATAACAGGTAGTACTGCATAAACTTCAGTGTGTTTGATCTACATGTTGATGGCAGAAAGCAAAGCAACTGCATGGTAAGACCGTCATCTGAATGTATGTGCCAGGCCATGCATAGTTAAAGCTAAACAAAAAGGCTGACTAGCTTACAAGAGAAGCCCCAGAATACTGACTTTCCCTGCCAATGAGGCAACCATAGAAGGTCTTCCTAAACATTCAGAGGGAATGAAACTGCTGGCCATCACATGAAAGGTTAATGCAATCCAGTACTAGTCTCAACCCTATTATTTTTATTCTTACAAACTATAATTCCATAAATTTTTACTGTACTTATGCTAAGACATCATTAACAATGAAATCTAGAAAACTTAAAATATGAAGATTGGCACACAATTTGTAAAAACTCTACAACGATTATCAGTAAAGTTCAAAAGAATCTTTTAATAAAATATATAAATAATCTATATTAAAACGAATAATTTCAGTAGTTGTTACACGCATCACTAATACATTGTTTAACTTTTTAAGTCATTTCATTGGCAGTTTTAGAATGTTTCTTGATTTTTCAGCCGTAAGTATTACAAGAGTGCTTATCGTACTTGCATAATATATCTCCACAATTAAAAACAAAAAGCTGTTAACTTTGATATCTATTAAGACGAACTACAAATTATTATGTTACTGCAAGTGAAGTTCAGTTGCTATATGTAAAGTTTATCCACAAATATTCTAATCTGTTTCAATTTACATGTATATTACTTGATATGATGGCATTTACATAGACAACAACTTCATTTGTATTTAATGTTTTCTTGTTAGTGTCATGAAGAACCATTATTTGATAATTCAATTCTGGAACACAAGAAAATAACAACACAACACTGTATGCATTATAATCAATTAATAAAATGTATAAAATAAGCAAGAACTTCCTCGTTTAAAAATGCCCAATAATTTGTTGTATAAAGTTAAAAGCAAAATATACAATTAAAACTCTACATGTTTTGCTGTAAAACATTCCACCATTTTCAGGACACATAAACTGATTTCTAGGAACATCTTAATTCTATCAGCTCCACAATACAACTGACTTTAGAAGTGGAAGAAAGGGCCTACTTGAATTATATGGTAAAAATAGAGAATGGGTTTCTGTCTACTTCAGTATACAGCAAGCCATTCTCAGTTGCCATGCCACTACACGCAAGATCATGTCACCCATTGTCACAAAAAAATGTCTTCTTTTTCATTGTTTGTTCATAGGGCCATTACATTCTCTACATATAATGAAGATTTTATGTTTAAACTGAAATATATATAGCCATTGATAGAGGTTATGAACTGTATATTATAGATAGGATTTATAAAAAACACTGTAATAAATTACAAGTTTCAGAATATACCAGACTACAGATAATAAGTAAGGTTAATAAAGAAAGAATGTGTCTGCCGTATGTTCCGCCATTGTCAACAAAAACAGGTAAGAAAAAAAAGAAGTGTCCCCTGAAGATGGTGAATTTTTTTTCCACCAGAATATCTAAATCTTTAATTGTATAGAGTTTTTAATTGTATATTTTGCTTTTGATTTTATACAATAAATTATTGTGCAGTTTAAAACTTTGAAATCTGTGCACAACAACAGTCACAGAATATATTTAATTAAAACTATTTAACCTTTTGTAAAAGATGCACGGAGAGGAATTATTTCCTTTCATATGTATACACACAATGTCTTTTTTTTTAATATCACGGAGTAATTTTTCTTCAATTATTTTGGTTGTTACAAAAATAAAAGATTTCTATAGGGATAAATCATAAAAATACTACAGTTAAAAGTAAATTTAATTCAGATTCAACATGTTTCCGCTGACTACTGCAAAGTAGAATTTATTACGACTCATCCTTGTAGAAGACTTTCCCAAAAGATAACACGCACACACTTGCATGTCAAGCTACCTACCTATAGTATTAGGTGAGGGTGGGCCATTAGCTCCATTGGTTTTGCCAGGCACTGGAGAGTTGAATGTTGTTTGCCCTTGAATTCCCGAAGAAGATGAGATTCCTGAGTCCATGCTGATCGTATGAGGTCCATCAAGATCACTTAGTTCATCAGTCATTTGGGGGTGACCAGGAGCAACTTGGGGTTTCTTCTTACTGACCATAGCATAGAGACTGCCATCTAGTGGGCCTTCTGTGTGAGGAACTGCCAAGTGTGAACATACAGGTCTGTGGTTATAGGTGTTAGTGTCAGTGCTTCAGCAACACAGCATAAGTGGCAATGTTACATGGGTTAGCTGGATATTAGGCTTTTTGCTAATTGAAGTCCAAATTTTAGTTAGAACAAAGGTTATTAGGGGAATTATATAAAACCTTTGGTAATAAGGTTATAAATAAACATTTTCTTAAAACTAACAGTGTGCAGGTTTAGTAAGTGCAGTTATTTTTATTAACAACTTCTGATATAACTATGGCAGCAAATAAGGTACTGAAACACAAGAAAAATTATTAATATGTACTATGAATGTTGCAGTATTAGACAGTATGTTAAATGTTCTAAGTCTTAAGTATTAATCATAGAACCAAAATAAGTGCACTTTTATGCTACCATGTGCTACTCATTTCCTTACCTATGAAATATTGTAGAATAATTAAAAAGGCAACTTATTAGTTACTGTTATTAAAAAGTTGTATTAATTCAACAAATAACATATCTTCAATTTTCAAAAACTTAATTGAAAGTTTAGATTCATGCATTACAGCTTAATGATACATATTACGGGCATTAAATTTCCCATGTATGAGTGTAAATGTATTAGCTTTATGCTAAAAGTTAGTACTCACGTGAAACAAACTCTTCAAGGCTAATAGAAATTATACACTGGTTTTCACAAGTTAAGAAACTACCCCAAAATACAAATTATGGCAAAATGGTGCAAGATTTACTCATAAAATTTACATGATGCAGCTTGTGAAAAACAAACACAAGTTAAATTTAATGATTAATAAGTGTCCAGAAAGAAAAGGAAAAACAAAACCCCTGAGAAGAGATATTCAGCAGTGGGTGTGGTATTTTCTGACAGCTCTACGTGTCTCACAGGGTCTTTGCTTACTGTTTATAAGATGATCTATGAGAGCAGAAGGCAAAAGAGCCCACTAATGTAGCAGGGCAGTTTTCAAATCTTCGAGTATTCTTGGATGGAAACAACGTGTCTTTCTAGAGTATCCTAATCATGCTATATGAGACTGAGGTCAGGAGAAAATGCTCACTAGTTCCTCTGTATAATAGTGTGATTTTGCATATAACAGCTGATAACACATGCCCAGTGTGGTCAAGCAAAATCATCGGTTAAAAGGATGTTCTCTTGTACCTAAATATGGTCTAACATAGGGATCCCAGATCTCATCCCTCTATCTCCAGCCAGTCATAGTACCACTTTTAAACACAATGAGGTCTACCTATGAAAATTACTAGTCAGCCCGTCAACCCTCTTCCACCATATGAGCATGGGCTGGTTGCGTGTTTCACATTAATTCCAGATGAATGTACACCATGAGTCCCCTCATTGGCTGAGTCTTGACTCACCTGTAAAAATAACATGGCTCCATTGATATGGTGTCCAAGAAACATGTTCACATCAATACTTCAAACACTCCTGTTTGTGAATCAAGGGGATACACACCATTGGCCATCTTGCATTGAGCCCTTTTTCATGCAGCCTCCTGCTTATTATTGAAGCTGATACCAACCTCTCTGTGGCCATACAGAGATCCAAAGACAGTTGAGATGGTGTAGAGGATCTATTTTGTTGCCTCAAAAGTGCTGGGGTTGTGACCTGCAGTTGACCTTGTACTGGTCTTTGTACAATATCTGCATGCTTGTGTCCATAGATGAGAAACAACACTTTTGTTTACAATTGGCCATTCAGCCACCTGCATCTGTAGCTGTCTAGGTTAAAGCCTGTCAATACCTCCCCACTTTAAGAAGTACTTCTGTTTTGAAAATGCTACTTTGTAAGAGCGTTTTGGAACATTACATGACATGACGTCCTCCACTATTTTTACGTGCCACAGGAGAGGCTTAGAATGAATAAGAACAACATAATATTATCACATTTATTGGAAACAATCTTGTGTTACATGGTATCACAGATTTTTTGTTTTGTGACAAACTCCAGTGATCCCATTACTATGTGTATGCACAATGCTTTGATTGGTCTCTCCGTTGTCTTTGATCCACCAGGACCTATATTTTTGTTTGTGGTACCATTAAGTTCATTATTAGCATTTTATTGAAATTATTCAAAGAATATATAAAAATACTTTATCAATTTAAAATAACAGATGCATTAACTGACATTTTCGAAATGTATTTCAAAAACTTTAACCATGACCTTGTTGTTTCATCTTGTCACACAGTTCACGAGGGCTGTTAGCATTGTACAAACATGAAGACCTGCTTAGAAAATCTTCCAGACAATGACTGCTACACATTTTGTGGAAATGACCATTAGATGATGATACTACCAGAGCCAAAACTAAAATGAACAAAAGTCAGTATCCACATGTCTTTAAACAGACATTAATTTATTTGTTTTTTTGATAAGACCATATTTTTCACAATTTTTTTGTTACATGCTTTGTGTAACTCTTATTAAGTTGAGCTTTTGTTTTACTGATACCTGACAGGAAATTTTATTTCACCTTACTAATTTAAGACATATTCATACTACTGGGACCTCAAGATTATCCTAAATGAACTAATCCAGTTCACAATGTTTCCAAAAATACCACATTACATCAAAGGAGTAATGTTATAATAGCAGTGTTGAAACAAAAGCTAAGCCTAAAATACACAATGTAAAATGTAGTATAACATACTTCAATGAGAAAAGATTTTATAAACATCTTGATTAGGTTTCCTTCATCTTAGTGTTCTTAAACATAGCCAACAACCAACAATAACTATTGCAACTTTAGATATAGTTTAATCGAAAAAAGAGAAGAAAAAAAGCCCATAGGTACTGGCAAAATTTGAGCAACCGGATACAATGTCTACATTCTGAGAGGTTAGTTTAGTTATGGATATTTTTTTTATAAGCCACAAGACATGAAAAATTTACATTTATAACAGGTATCTGGGATTGGTTTTCAGTTATTTCAGAAGCTAGTTATTTATTTTATACCACCCATATCTTAATATAGTTGTCAAAAGTAAAATGCTAAATTAAGAATTAAGTGATTTCTATTGTTTTACATATTACCTTTATTGAGTTCAGTTTCTAGTGTATCCAGATCTACAGCAAAAGAAAAGAGTAAGACAAATGTTTCAGTTTAACAGCAGGCACAAGAATCTACAACAATGTAAAGTAGATTACCTAATCATTTTGAATAGGTCTATAGTGCCATAGTGTTAAGTTTTGTTCTTGTAAAGCATTAAATGCAAAATATATCACATGGATGTGCAAAAGCTATAAAACAATAACAGTTTGATATTTCTTTTTAAAAGTTTAAAATTTTAACTTTGCCATGATTATTGAGATTGATATTCATGAAAAAATTTTTACAATGTGTATTCTATGAGCAAAAACCTAAATTAGCCAGTAATTTCTTCAACTTTGGTGTCTTTTTTACTTCAAGATAAATGCATAATAGTATTACTAAAATATTAATATCTTTGGATTGCCTGAAATCAAAATCTAATTTTTATTAACTTTAAAAATTATAATAAAATACTCTTAACATCTGATACTATCATAATAAAGTGTAATCTCTTTTTTTTTACATTTAAAAATATTCAGTAATATCTAAATCTGTTATATATCCAATTAATGCAATAAAAATTCTGTCTCTACCAAACTTTGGTTTGGTTGTTAAGCACAAAGCTACACAATGGACAATCTGTGCTCTGCCCACCATGGGTAACAAAACTCAATTTTTGGCTCTAATTAATTTTATAATATTGTCAATTTATAAATTTGTGGATTTTTACATCAAATATAACCCATTGCTAAGCCTAAGTAACTTACCATCTAACGAATCTTTTGGAGCAAGGTAGAAATTTTCATAAGAATCCCATCGGACTATAGGATCCCCAGTGTTATCCACTGGCACCATAGCATCATTTACTGATCCATTTCCTAAGTAAAAAGTTAGAGGAATGTTTAGTTTGAAAAACAAAAGCATCTGATTAGTTTTTATAACATTATAGAAATAAAATCCATTTAAAAATGATGTAAATAAATAAAGATCTGAGCACTATAGGATCCCCAGTGTTATCCACTGGCACCATAGCATCATTTACTGATCCATTTCCTAAGTAAAAAGTTAGAGGAATGTTTAGTTTGAAAAACAAAAGCATCTGATTAGTTTTTATAACATTATAGAAATAAAATCCATTTAAAAATGATGTAAATAAATAAAGATCTGAGCATTTTTATTACGTGTTGCGAATGTTATAAGAAACTCTTACCATCTTCACAAAGAATCTTCTGAAAACACCAATTCACGGTGGTATTTTCTTCATTACATGATGCAAGGAAGTGACCAATTATAGAGGTGTGGATCAAAATATAATAATTCATGCCCTTTTGTCATATAATGTACACGGAATACATCTGTTAACAAGATTACTATACAAACACACAAAGTGTATTTTTTAATCTTTAACTATTCACAAATATTATTTTTTTAACTCACCTCTAAATTCTTCTGGATGGTATGAAAATTGGAACTCAACTCGCCCTTCTTCAGGAAATCTAGTATCTAGGGTTACAATTTAAAAGTTTAATAGAGCTGATTATGTGTTAAACATAAATTAGTAGACGCAGATAGTTATGAGGCTACTAGTACCAATAAAAATTATTATTTTTGTATATTATTGTCACTTCTGAAAAGTAATTTGAACTACAAAGTTAATAGACATCCCAATTTAAAGGACACAGAATCAAACACAAACACTCTTACTGGTGGTTTTCTGTGTTAACACTGGCTCTTTTGAAACTAATTTCCTTGTACAGTTAGTTGAGAGAATGGATTTGTGCTGTTTATTTGCTGTGCTTTAGTATTTAATAGCATTTTTTTGGAATACTTTGTTAAACAATATTATTATCTCAAATAACTAATTTCAGATGTAGGAATTTTCAGAATATGAGAATCAGGTACTAGTTTTTAATAGTGTGGCAACCATTCTCGGTCTGACAGTCTGGTTTCAGCTCTCAATTTATGATAAGAATAAAACATAAATAAAAGATATGCACACATAAACGTTTATATTCATAAAAAATATACAGGACACCAAAATAACTAGTTTCTTCAAGAGCACATAAAAAATATATAATTGAATTTCAGTTTGAACAAATAATAATCAATATTCTAACAACTCTAGATAATGAACCTAATCAACACATCAAGAAACATTATCCAAACTGATCTCAAAAGAGTAATACTTTTGTCTTTATTGGTCATCCAGAAATACTTTATATGTGGTGTTTGAGAGTTACATTCAAAAAGTAATTAAACTAATTTATTATTAATGTATATGAATATATTTGGCATCAAAACGTGTATAACAAGTTTTAATATAAGTTGTAAAATCTTCATTTCAGAAGGAAATATCTAAATAAATCCTCCATCTTCTCTTATCTGAGTAAACCTGATATTTGTTTGCTCTTACTTGTCAATTTTTTCTTTTTTTACCATTCTTCTATATTGTCCCGAATTCAATGTAAATTACTAATTATAATATAGATATTACTAAGACATATACTAATTCTTATAGCTTTCAATCCTCTTTGTTTAAAGAAACATAAACAAAAAATCATATCCACTTGCCATGCTCTCCTTTCACATCCTCTCTTTCACAAATTCCCAATAATGTTCTCTGACATTTGCTATTACATCATTTATAACCAATAGAAAGTTTTATTTTATCAAATTACGTAAAAAGCTACCTTGTTCTCAGTAGATATATATATTTTTATTTCACATAAAAATTGAAAGTTGCAATCACCGAGTTCAGATTGAGCAGATTGGGGAATTATTTTAAGACACTAATGCCTTGTTAGAAAGCCAGTGAAATTATAATAGTTACAAGACATTGTTTTTTTTTGTGCACGTTATTATTTTTTGTTCTGCAGCATATATTTGAAATAAATGAGAATTATTTAACATACTAGTACCATCATTACAAACCAACAGCAAATAAACAAGAGGCTAAACAAAAGAACTAAATTTAATGCATATTTCTCATTCATTGTTTTAAAAGTAACTAAAATGTAAAAATTAAAAATTTATTAGGTCAGATAATGAAAAAAATAAAGATAAAAACATTTATCCATAAGGTATGCTCATCACTAGCTTGGATGCAACTCATGCGTTATGTCATTCAATACTGGAACTCGGGCTGCATTGCATATTCGCAGTGTGATTTACAGCTTGTATCACAGGCTCATTAGATTGACATAGTTCAAAGAGCAATAAAACAATAAAATTAAATAAAAAACAGATGTAAACTCTTATGAGACTTAAGCTATTTAAGACAAATAATTGTAAATTTCTGTTACAATCTGTTGTCATTCTAGAAAGAAAAAGGGTAGTTTAGAGTTTTTTTATATTTTTCTCCAATGGTTAGAAGATTAGTTAAATCGACTGTGTCTATATAGTGTTAGAGTAGACAAAATAATAGATAAAATATGAATTTTTACTGAAAAAACTATTGATATTTATTTAGGTTTCAGAGGTTATGCAAATGAAAGTTGAAAACTAAGATGAAAGAAGTATTTTTAATTTTAACATGAAAATCACCTTGCACTTGGACTAGTCAGAGTCTGAGTTATACTCTGAAAACATATATTCACATAGAAGTTTTTAGTAAAAATTGTGACGGATTTGTTATTATACATTTAATTTACTAGCAATGTTTGTTTAAATTAAATTTATATTTAGAAATATACATAACTTATACTGTTAAATATGCATTGTGAAACTCCCGCCCGCCTGTTTTTTAAAGTTGTAGAAAATTCTCTAGTGTAAGAATCAACAATATATGAGTGTACATAAAAGCTAGTGTTAGCGTAAGTATTTTTTGGTAAGCCGAAGTTTCGACAAACTCTCCACACACCTATAACTATGAGCAACGCACCATGCCAAAAAAACAGTATCATTGGTTTGCTGTAGTTGGTGTGCTATAAACTTCAGAAGCTATAATTGTGATTGTTATAATGCTTTTTAATTGGGACACTTCAGATTTTGACCAGGAACATATATAAATTTCAAACATTACAAACCATTTAAGTTCAGTGGATTCATATCGGACATTAGTACTTTTAAGAAGATATTATATAACTTCAGCGGTAAAAGAAACTGGATCTGTAATTGGCATGTAAACAGTGAGAACTACAGAGCTAACTAGCTCCCTGTTAAGTGAATTATACCTACGTCAACTCAAAATAATCTCGCTCATCGTGAATACTCAATAAGATATCAAGGAAGTTCCAGACTAGAAATAAGATTTTATATTGCTTGTAAGTTTGTAAAACTTTTGTACATAAATCATTATTTGTAATAACTGTTATTTTAAATTGTGTTATTGGTTATATATTAAAATATATTTGTATTAAAAAAGAAAACTGTGTGTATCAATCCTGTTGGCAAATATCATAACCTGGATATATATATATATCTGCAATTATTTAACTACCAAGTCTAAATTACAATTTAACTCAGTTTTAGACTATTTGAAATTTTAATACGTAACAAAATGCTCAATTAAAAATCTGATTTTTGTGTACAACTTGTAATATTTATTAAAAAAATGACAAATTTTGTGAAGATACATTTACTGTATCGAAACTTATAGTACGGATACTTTCATAGACAGTTAAAAAAAACAAAGATTTTATGTAACAAGAGGCAAATTTCAGAATTTTCTATTTATCTATACTTCCAGTTACATGCAAAATATTTATCCAGTCTATGCAAGTATTCCTACCAGTGTTAGCTTCATCCAGATCATCCTTTCTAAACACCAGACTATCACTGTTCAATGTACAGGTGTGGAACTGAACCTTGAAAATGACTGACCTCCCCATGGGACGTTGTTTCTTGTGATAACATTTTATAAGTAAGTCTCCTCTTAAAGGCAAGCTGGGGTCAAGAGTTATGATGACACGCTTGGCTCGGTCTGTGACAGTGCTAGTGTAAAAAATGAGTATACACTCATCATAATTATATATTCTTTTAAATTTTTCTCAACTAATTATAAGTAAGTGGTTTCAAAAAATGACATTTAAATGAGATACATATTCTTCATGGAAGAAATGTGGTGTTTTATGAGTCATACTCTTAACTCCAAAATACTTCGACTTACTGTTGAATTTTGCTACATTGAACCACAATCTTAAAACTAAAAAAGCTTAATAAAAGCAAACTGAAGAGTATAGCACTGAGAAAAAATAGCACAGTAACTGTGCTATATATATATCTTTTGGACTGATTCTGTATGTAGTTGTTAAACAAACTTTTAGGTACATAGATCACAAGCGTACACACCAATTTCCAAAGATTAAGCTCAGATTTCATAGATAAGGTATTATATCCCTAATTACTTCCATTCACCTCTTCAAAAGAATAAAATATTTATTTTTTATCTTCATTAAATGTTCAGGTACAATAATGGGTGTAGCTTCAGCTCCCACCCCACTTTTTAAGTAATTTCTAAAATACAAATAAATATTTTTTTTATATATTTTGAATTCAAATAACATGCAATTGTAGTTTTTAAGAATTCCAGATTATATTTTTATAAAGTATACAAGATCTGAAGTGCATGTATCTAAAGTGTTTAGAAATCAGCCCCTACTGTAATTTTGTACCTATACTAGACCCATGAACGTAGAAACAATAAAAATGCATAGCTATAAATATAATACAAAGAGCTATAATGCTATAAAGTCTGTTATAGTAAACCTATACTTAACAAAGCAGTCCAGTGTTTACTTAAACAGTACTTTACTATCTTTTTGTAATGTTCTGTGATTCTTAAGAATTCATTAAGTATTTTTTGTTTAAAACTTAGCTTCTTTAGCCCCAGGAACATATATTACTTGAAAAGTCTATTGCACATCACCACATTAAAAGGAAAAATATATCTGATTCAAAAATAGGAAAATCTCTAAAAGATCGAATACAATTCACAGAATAAAACAAATTTTCTGAACTCAATATTTTAATTCAGTTCACTAATTTTACATTTATTCATTTTCTCTGTGCTATATTGCTAAATTACGCTTCAATCTTTACAGATTTTATCAAACATTAATCTGAATTAGATTACTATAGTACTGAACAGTTGAATTTTATTTCTTTTTTTAATGATATTGTGATTATATTAAAATCATTAATCAAAGATATGATGCAAACTTACTAAACTCCTGAAGTGTATACAGGTTGCATTCCCTGGTAGATCTTAATGAAAGGTTTACATCCTAGGGTAACAACAAAAATTAAACACATCACAAGATAAATCATCGTATTTAACACTTACTGAAATAAATTTTACCATATTATTTATAAAGGAATAAACACAGTACCTTATCATACCTGTTGCACAAAATAATGTACAAATTAACTTTGATCTTACCACCTTTGAAGTCAAAATTTGGAACACCTTGAATGATAACATGGTGAAGATACAAAGGACTGTTATTCATCTTTATTGCACCAGACAGTAGCCCAGCAAAGTAATGCACATACCTGTAAATGGAGAGAAAATACTGTTAATCTGAACATAAATTAATAGTATACAAAGGTTAAATCTCTTGACAAACAATGATTACTTCTGTTAATATTTAAAGATTTTTGGAAGCATTAATGAACAGATTTATTTTATATTTAAGGAAATATTTACTCGCTAATAACCAACTGCATTATCAGAAGAAAATAAATTAAGTAAGTGAAAAGTATTATTTTTACTACAATAGGATCTACATGTCAATCTACAAACACAGAGAACCATTAAAAGGAAAGCTAAACCAAGGTTTTTTTCCCTTCTTTAGCTTAGATTTCTTTTGTCTTTCAAAATACCTAAATAACTGGATTCACACAAACCAACTACAACAGAAAAGTATTTACATTTGAATTTAATATCATGACAAATTTATTGTTTGAAATCACTTTATTATAAGAGAATGTATAAAGTTAAAAGATATTATTAACAGCTTATATACTTCAGATATATGCGAGTAGTATTGGACAATTATTATTTATCATGCATTAACTTTTCTTGTATAAAATATTTGACTGTGTAATACTTTTAGAAAGCTATGTTATATGTTAAGCTTCTGTACGATCTCACCTTCTCTGAGAAGGATGCATTCCTGTTGACAATTTGTCATCATAAAATCGCTTCATAGCAAATCGATCCAAAGCCTGGTCAGCACTACAATTACAAACCACATAGAAGCAATTATATATTGTAGTTACTAATATCCACAATTATTTCATCAATTAATTATTAACAATATAAAAAACAAATCATAAAAAAATAAAATAGTTCTTCTGTTGATACTAACTTATCACAGAAAAATATAAAACCAAAACTAGTCAAAGTAGCTTAGACTCTGATTAACAACACTAGAAGTTATTTTGTCTTGTAGCACTGATAAACTTATAGCACTGATAAACTTGTACAACTGATAAACTTATTTGGTGAATACATGAAAAAGACAACAAAAACTTGTGATAATTTTAAAGTAATTAACAAAACTATAGAAGTTAAGGTGTCTGTCAGTTAAAACATCACTGTCTAAATTCAAACTATATTCATTAAAAGTCACTTATTTACCATGGATGTATACACTAATAGATCATCAATGTGGAAACTGAAACAATATGTTCTCCATTAGTCTCCAAGCAAAATATACAATAGGAACAGTAAAAACAACCTTCTTAATTCTACAGTGATTTTATAGAACAAAGAATCAATGTTGTACAGAAAGCTTTTGCTTGCATTTCATTATTCAGTATTTTTACAGTTAAGAGTTTAATGCTACATTGTACTAAACATTTAGACACAAGATATACTTCTGCATGGTCCCCGAAAGTGTTCTGTTTCAAACCAAAATTAACAGTAACAAATATTTTTATTTCTTGCTTTTGAAATTCATGTCATGCTGTGTTGTAGCCTATAGAGAGTGCATAATTGTTCTCGTGATTCATGGCATGCATGTTTTACTGATGTCACAAATTCCAAAGTTAAGCATCCCTTATGAAATGTCATTTTAGTGTCTACTGATTGACTGACAGACAATACATTACTGTATAGTGGTGTGAGTGGTTAAAAGAGATTACCCCCTCCAGGCAGTCTTTGACCCCATTTTGGGGAAATTAATGTAACTTTCAGAATCACAATCTTACAAGTCTAGGTGTCACACCAAGAAGGTGTTCTAGCTAGTCCCAAACTAGAAATATTTTACTCTATCAATTACAACATACTGATATATTTATAAAAATTCTCTTTTCAAAAGACCATTATTTTTCTCTTCTTTTAAATTTTTGTTACCAGCTAATGACTTAATGCACTCATGTTAATTATATATTAGGTCGTCAAAAAATTAATGTCACTATTTTCAGATGAAAAAAATCTGAGCATCTTTTATATCAAAACATTTATTAAATGAAATAGTCTCCATTCTTATCGATGATGCTTTTTCATCTTACAATCAGGTTGTTAATGTCCTGATTAAAGAAATCACTTGGCTTTGAAGAAAAAACATGTCAATGTCCTTTTTAACAGCTTTCACACTTGCATACGTTTTCCCATTAAGATGGTGTTGCAGCAAAAGAAAAAGATGGTAATCTGATGGTGCCATATCTGGAGAATATGGTGGGTGGGGGAGAACTTCCCAACCCAATTCCATAATCTTGTGTTGCATCCAACATTCCACATGTGGACGTGCATTGTCATGGAGAAGAAGAACAACACCTTCCTGATTGATGAGCAAAGGGCATTTCTGATGAAGGGCTTGATTTTAATGTTCCAGTTGCTGACTATAGATCTCTACATTGATGGTTCATTGTGGATTGAATAGTTTGAAATGAATTACTCCTTTGATGTCCAACCAAATGCAAAGCATCACTTTCTATGGATGGAGTCTAGGTTTTGGGGTCAGAAGTGGTTTTTGTCTTGGACTGAGCCATTGTTTTTAGTGTTTAATATTCGCATAGAGAATCCATTTTCATCACCGGCGATAATTCTGTCCAAAAATGGTTCACACGCATTACGCGCCAGAAGAGACGAAGCAACGTTCACACGTTGGAAACGATGATCATCGGAGAGTTTGTGAGGCACCCAAACACCTTCTTTATGGAGTTTTCCCATATTCCTTAGATGTTTACATATTGTTTCATGTGCAATTTCAGGGCCATTTCATGAGTGCGTTGCTTTGGATTAGACTTAACTAGCGTTTTCAGAGCACCAATATCAATTCCAACATGTCGGCCCCTGCCATCACAGTTTTTAAGGCTAAAATCACTTGAATGAAATTTGCTGAACCATCGTTGACACTTACGAACATTCAAAACATTTCCATAAAATTCTTTGATATTCTTTGTAGCTATAGAGGCATTGTTTCCCTTCTTGTATTCAAACAGCAATACATGCCGAATGTATAAGGGATTAGAGTACACTAAACTTTACACACTATAGAGGCTACACTAACGCAATATTTTAGGCAATTTGTTTGTACGTAATGTACGTTTTTTGGGGGGGTGGTTATTGAAAGTGTTCCAAAACACAACTTCTGAAAAGGACTTACCTCCTCTGACACAAAATACCCACTATTAAACCTCGATCTAAGTAACAATTGCTATTTCTCTCAGTCGATTAATGTAGTTAGAAAATTTATGTAAAATGTATTGTGTTAAGGAGAATTCATAAAGTAAAATATGTCTGAGCATATTCCACATAATGTTTTAATTCATAATTTGTTGATTACAGTAAGTAACCTGATGAATATTATAAAGGGTTTAATTAATGAAACCTTTGATTATTTTGATACGAAAGCTTACCAATACACTTTTGTTGATTTGATGTGATTTTTGATATCAGTCACTGATTCAATTCTTTATTCTAACTGTAAACTTCTTTGAGTTGGTGACTTGAGTACTCCACTCATGACTGTATATTTTGATTTAAAATAAATGTATTCGTCACTGGATTTAAAGTTGAACTCCAAATGACTAGCCTACATGGCATCCTTGTTATAGCTCTTTATTACATGAGGAACAATATTTCAACAATATATCACTTTTTAGAGTGACATCACCAGTACTAGATGTCGTTGTAGTATGTTTAATCAATCTGACATATATTTCTTGGTTCACAATATTTAATAATCCACAATTTATTAAATGCAAAGGAATGAGTTCACAAACACTTAAAAACTTGCAAACAAAACATCTAACGACAACTTAGTGAAAAAATTGATTTTTAAAAGATCTAGTTTTAAAAGGTATAGAGATAAATGTATAGCAAATGGTACAGAAAAAATTTACCTTGCACAGATGTTGTTGTAATGCATATATGCTGCCACAACTACCCCCATTCTTCCCCTGTCTCCCTAGAGATAAAAAAGTTTTATAAATTTTTAGCTATGAAACAGTAAAAGCAGTTTTGAAAAACGAAAAAAAAAACTATTTCTTTAACTTTAAACAAACTTTAATCTGTTATATTTTATAAATTAAGTGTAAATATATTGGTAAGCAGCTATATTATTAGCAGTGGATAACTTGTAATGTACCTAATAAGATGCAACTTTAAAGCTAATTTTTTATTTAAATATGCTTTATGTTCATTTAAAGTTATATTTATAGCTTGTCATTTTGAAAAAACAACAACATTTTTACTGGAACAAGACAATTAAGGCTTTTAGTCTTTTGAATTGAAACGTAATCAAAAGATTAACATGTACATGCTTAATAATTACATAAACAAGATCAAGTATACATTCAAATATTAAAAAATTAATTAAATCACTATTTTATAATTGCTAATGACAAATTTAAAATAAATGTTTTACATATTTGGTAGTACATATTTTGGATATTTAATAACTCTGACAAAAAAAAAATGGTTAAGATATCACAAAAGAAACAGTTGCATTAAAATAGAATTGTATCTTATACTATAAGTTATTTAGTTAACTAAAAATTTACTCTGCAACAACAAAGTGCTTCTTATCACCAGATATCAGTGATGACATAAGCGACTGTAAACTTCTATGTTTTATGTATATATTTGAAAGTATGTGGAAAAAAATTCACACAAAGTAATCGATATTTGGATGAACTTTGACACTCTCACTTAACATTGAAAGTAGAAGCCAGAAGCACCTTAGGGGATATTAAGAGAAATCAATAAATTTCTGTTTGTGTTGTTTTACACTGTGTCCAGTCTCTTTCTTTCCCAAGTCAATCGGGTTCAGAGAATTTGGATTTACTTCATAATATATTTCCTCTTAGTACCTCCTGTTATTATTATATCCTACTAAAAACAGTGTACTGCTTCGATGGTTTCAGTGGCTTACCCATAACTATAACAATATCCTTTTCTTCAGTCAAACTAGTGTTAATTTCCGTCTATATCAAACATGCAATGCAAATTATCGTAACTTGAACACATTACCTTGCACATATTATAGTTTAAAGACCATTTGCCAAATACTTACCCAACTTACCAACTGATTCAAGTCATTCTGTAATACTTCATCAACTTCAGTACAGCTAGAAACACTTGAGAGTTTAATGTCATAAGCAAACTTTACTAAATTACTAATTATGTCCTAACAATATCATTAATGTAAATAAAAAAGAAGCAAACGCCCAAGCACTGAATCCTTTGCTACTCTGTTAGTAATAGTGGTGCAGTTTGAATGGAATCAACAAATAACAACCTTTTTGCTTTCTCTCATCCAACTTCCATACAATCCAGTTAATTGGTCTATCCCCAACCTCTACAAATGTGATTTTCTTAGCTAATTTTTTTATATGGTACTTTATCAAAGCTTTTTTTTTGAAAATCTAAGTAAATCAAATTCACACCCTTTCCCACATCCTGATAACAAGCCTCTGCAAAGGATGGCATGGTCAATCTTATATCACACCTAAGAAACACGGAGAGGGTCCCTTCTTTGAATAACGTGTCTTTTGACCTTACATCACTTCTTCTCGCTGTGCAAATAGTCCTTCTCATAAAGGGTAGTGACAAAATTCTTCATCCTCAATGCATCTGAGACAACACTGCATTGTTGACTGATCATTGCAAATGAATTTTAGATGTGTTAGGCCTGTCACCTCTGGTGCCATGGCTCAAATCTGTGGTGATATCATTAAATTATTATATGAAAGTCTTTTTTATAAAGTATGTAGGTGAAAACTAGTGATATAAAGAAAAGCAGTACTTGCACGTCAAGAAAATAACACAACATTTAAGGAACAAGGGGCCTGTTTTTCCATCTAGGGCTGTCTCATCCACTAAACTATTAAAAATCACTCAAAGCCACACCTTGCCATAAAAATTTATATAAAGCTTTCTTTTAAATTTACTGCTTCCACTGTATCTGAAGGCAATTTATTCTAAAGGCCAACTACCCTTTTACAAAAATAAAACTATCTTATCTGAAGATGACTTCTACCCTGCTGAATTTTATATTTGTATTCCCTAACCCTAAAATTCTCACTATTAAGTACAAAAAAAAGATGATACATCAACATTATGAATTCCTTTAACAATCTTAAACACCTTAACCAGATCCCCTCTAACTCTTCCTTTTTCAAGAGAAAACAATTTCAGAGATCATAATCTGTCCTCATATGACTACCTTTCCATCCCAAGCGTCATACTAGTAGCCCTCCTCTGAACCCTTTCCAACAATTCAACATCCTTTTCTTTGTTAAGGTGCTCAAGACTAAACAATATTCTCAACGTGGTCTAACCAGTGACCTATAATACGAAATTATAACCTCTTTAGCCTTGTATTCAATATTTCTGTAGGTATAGCCAAACATTCCATTTGACCTACCACTAGCAACAGCACACTGCTTGGATGGATTAAGAGACTAATCAATCAGAACACCACAATCCTTTTCTTCTAGAGCACTGTTAGGATTATCCAGCAAAATTTTAAACTTCATTAAATAACTTTGCAAAGCATTTTTTATTAGAATTTCAAAAAATTTCTTCCACTACTGATATAAGTCTAATAGGCCTATAATTATCATGATATTATGTTGAGTACTTCCCTTGAAAAGAGGAAAAACATTAGCCAACTTTCATTCCTCTGGCACCTGCCCACTATTCAAGGACTTATATGTATAAAAGAAACAATTGACTAAAATATCCAATCCTCCTTCAAAACACCTACAAAAATAATAGCAATTGACTCAAAAATCCAATCCATTGACTAAAATATCCAATCCTCCTTCAAAACACCTATAAAAATAATAGCAATTGACTCAAAAATCCAATCCATTGACTAAAATATCCAATCCTCCTTCAAAACACCTACAAAAATAATAGCAATTGAATCAAAAATTCAATCCATTGACTAAAATATCCAATCCTCCTTCAAAACGCCTACAAAAATAACAGCAATTGACTCAAAAATCCAATCCATTGTCTAAAATATCCAATCCTCCTTCAAAACACCTACAAAAATAATAGCAATTGACTCAAAAATCCAATCCATATCCTCCTTCAAAATCCTTGGAAATATATCTGGCTTAGAAGCCTTAACATTCTTTAAACTTCTGTTTTTTCCTGTCAACAAAATGTTCACTCCTTTTACACATTCTCAGAATGGCCAGTACTATAATTCCATTTGTATATGTCCACTTAGTACTAAGTCCAGTCTAAAACACAATTTAATATACTTTTATGTTGATATTGCATAACTGTAACTACTAGGGGTTTAGTGAATGTTGTCAAAGAAATTTAGAGCACTGCTCAAGATGCTGGTAGTATTAGCACTTAACTCATTATAAGCTTGTATAAACAGTAACACGATTCATTTAATGAAAGGATAATTGCAATTGTAAAATTAAAAACATACACTCACTTTTGAATGCAAGACACCTATATGCTGAGGATCACTATTTAGCCATGAATCCAATGATTTGCAAATACTACATAGCTTTTCCAGAGGTGGAGCTAAATGAGCAGGCCATCCAAAATCATGCACCTGAAAATGGCAACAACAAAAGAATGAATGCTTAGAACTATAGTGAGATTCCATAATTAAACACAAACTTCTTACACTTGCTAATGTGATGTCTTGTTTCTGTATACTTAAGTCTCTTTAAACTTTACTACTTCAGAAGCCAGAAAAAATTTAACATTTAGGCCTTCCATGGCCTAGTGGTTAGGGAACTTGTCTTGTAATCCGTTGGTTGCTGAATCGAATCCAGTCACCAAACATGATCACCCTTTCAACCATGAGGCCATTATAATGTGATAGTTAATCCCACTATTCAGTGGTAAAGAGTAGCCCAAGAGTAAGTTTACCAGATTTCCAGAGTGCAAAACTGGGGTATTTTTTCCCTCATACAGAGTAACATTGTAACAGCTCTGAAATAGTTTAAATTACAATAACACACGTTTTTTTTCCATTTTCTGAATAATCATGTTTTTAAAACTATAGATAAATAAAAATCTGCTTGCTGGCTTTATATTTTGTATAGACTGAAACACATACAACTGTGCATTTCAGTCTATAGTATATTATAGGACAGGTGAAGAAAACACAACAGGGAGAGAACACTTTATTATGTAATTTGTTTTTTGTCAGGTGATTCTTCAAGTAAAATTTAAAGGACAAACAGGACATAGCAAACTTACACTAAGGTACAGAGAAACTTGGACAATTTAATTCTTTTACCATTTCCGTTCAGCATAGAAAAAATAAGGCTAAAAACTGGGACATCTGATAACCCTACCCAAGAATTAGCAGTGGACTGTGTTGACTAGTCTCTAGTCTATTACTTCAAAATTAGAAACGACTACTGAAGATGGCTATCGAGCAGCTTTACGCGAAATTAAAATATAACATTTATCGATTTAAGCCTTTTTTGTTTACTGTTGTAATATGTTCTACTGTTAGACGGACTCTTATACATTACTTGGTAAAAATAATGCCAAGTCCAGTCCATATAGCAATGACACATTAATTCATGTCTTCAATAAACGTTCGCTACAGGCACTTTCTATTTCACCTGTATTCCTAGCTTTAAACAGAAAGCTTAATTCACTCATACCATTTAACAAAACTTGCCTTGACTGATAACAAATGTTAACTAACTTATTGACTATCTTACAGAAGCACTAAGTCTTCCTGAATGACTTCAATCGACCAATCTTCTCTCGATCATTCCCACTCCATCATTAACCACTTATATTTATAATGAACTGTCACTTCTACCAGGAACGTGAAGTTTCTAGATACTAGACTATTTTTCGAATTTTCGCGATAATAACGTCACACACCCTCTAGAAAACATCTAAATTCAAATATAGCTAATGTCATCATCAAAATGTTTAAATATAAGAAAACTAAATTTACTTCTGAAACAAACTTAGATTGTTATATGTAGTTTACAAGGTAAGTCATAAATATTGCGATAAAGCATATTAACGTAATATAAAGTTAGGACCAAAATATAACTTAGAAAAACATATCCAAATATCTGTACCTGTTCATTTAACTTCGATAGATCATGGCGTTTCTCAGACAAGTTGAAAACCTAAAATATTGAATAAAAAACACTTCATTTAGAGCAAATATTAAATAACTTTATCCATAAAATACCATTGTTGTTTTTACTTTAAATAAGTAACCATAATTTGTCGTCTTATAGTATACTAGGCATTGGCATAACAATTTTGTTTGCAAAATTATCTATAACTATAAGTACAAGCCTATAACTCTAAAGCATTCAAAATACAATTATATTTGATATCTTAACATAACAAGCTGTGAATAATTACCCTGGGAACAGTAGCAAGGAAAACAATCGGTACGTGTGATTGGTTGAAGAGCCTGACGTTGCAAGCAAGGTTCGAAATTTTAAAATTTTAATAATATCATTAATTATTTGTGGATTTATTCAGCAATCACAACAGCTTACTAAGAAGAACTAATACAAAATTAATGCACAAATACGCGAACATTAAGTCAATTCAAGATAGACTCGTAGATTGCTTGTTCCGATATTTTGATAACAATCTATATAAAAATAACTAACGGAAATAGATCGCTATATCGTACACGGTGATGATAGTCCTAAGCATCTCTCTCCACTCAATTTCTACTGTAAGAAAAAGTCCACTTGCACTGGACCTTAATATAAGGCTTAAAATCAGTTATCACTAGTATATTTAAAAGGGTTTTTATATGTCAAATACGAGAATGATACCTGTTTCGAATGAAAAAGTGTCATTTTACCACAGAACTGTTTGCGAGTGTATAGAATGAAATGAAGAGAAATACTTAATACGAAACTGTTGGCGCGTATATACAACCAAACGAAGAGAGATAGTGACTAAATGCTATGAGTATTTTATTCATGGACATGGCCCTAAAGAGGGAAGTAAAATCAGTGTTTTCACCCACTGTTATGATCTCGTGAACACTATTATAGCAATTAACAGTTTATCACACAATAATCAATGAGGGAAGAAAATATCTGAATAGAGCCTGACCCTCCCGCGTAGTGCACAACGAACGAATACCCATCCACGCTTACTTGCGGCAGAATTTTTCAACATAGCTAAACCAAAATTACTTTACCCCTAAAAGACAAACATTTCACTAGGCCTTGTAACTTTTTTCTTTTTTTGCATAGGTGATTTTTTAAAAAAGGCAACTGGAACACTAGGTAATACAAATATTTAGTTATGCAGTCTGCAAACACTCACATAGGCCTACATAAAAAAAATGGAGGGAAAATACGATTTCCTTGTTAATAAAAAGTTTTAAAATCATACAGCTGTAGATTCTGTTTTGGTAAATGATTTTTTGTACACTTTTGGAGAAATACCGACGCAGTGAGTTCTAAATTAGTATTAAAATGTAAGCCTAACGTCGTTTCTACAAAATTATATATATATATATAGCTATCTCCATCAGTGAGCTCTCTATATATTTATATAACTGGAATGCAAATTCGACCAATGGTTGCGCCGGCTCTGGTTAGAGAGTAACAGACGAATTACAGGCATATAGAGTAACTGTAATAAAAATAAGCGCGGATTTACTCCAAAGACAAGGAATAAACATCACTGTATTAATTAACAGACCATGGAAGAATGAAACCCGTTGTGGTCAGAGCACAGATAGCCCTTTGTGTAGCTTTGCGCTTGATAAAAAAGAACAACAAGTTTGCTCAACTACTTTTGGTTTATGTTTTTACCTAAGTTATTGTACATACTGACCTTACTCTTAAAAATTATAGCAGTTTTTCAAAGACATTTAAAGAAATTAAACATATGCTCTGCATATTATAGGTATGTGCATAACAATGAGATTCTAATGTGGTATAATAATATACCATAGGCTTAACCTTTTGTACTATTAATATTTATTCTGAAGCTATTTTTTGATCTTTATGTGTGTAAGTTTTCACGTGGTCAAGAAAACCGTTAAGTTGGTCTTATTTCGAGTTACCTTTTTTTCCTTTGGAGCATTGTTCTTCACAGGTTGTACAGGTAATATCTAAAGACCCAGCCTCACCTATGTGGAATGAGCGTGACTAATCACGTGATATTACAATCTTGCTAATGCTAGGTAACTGTGAGGTTTCTTTGAATCTAGAAATCCTTTGTTTAATTAGTATTAACATAAGCCTGATCAAGGTTTTGATTTGGTATAAAAGCGACCGTGCGTAATCAAGGAAATGTGTACAATAAATATTGTTTTCACCGCGTTTTACACTTTGTGTCCATTCTGCCTATCTCTTAGCGTTAACTTAGCCAGCACAGATTCATCAGTTTTACAATTCCGTACCTTGATATAATCCCTTGTTTGACAGGCCTAAATGGTAGTGATAAAACTCCAAAATATTTTCAATTCACCTGAGAATACCACACAAATTACAAAACTTATTTAACACATTTTACTGGAGTTGTTTACGTTGTTAGCAATAATAGATATGTTACTATTCAAAACATGCGTAACTAATCCAACCAGACAGCTCTCGCTAAGCAAAGTACTCCAGCTGTATACGCTGGCGTAGTAGTTACTAGATGGCGCCACTACTACCAGCAGCGTCGCGAGTTTTTGTGTGTGTGTGTTAAATATTCGCTTCTTTAAAAAAAAACAAAACGACGTGCTTAGAATTACGTTGTGGATTTTCAAACGTCGATTATTCTTGGTTAAGACAAGTTCGTTATCGAAGTGAAATCCTGAAGTTAAAGATGCAGTGTCAAAAGTGTTGACAGAAAATGGTGTAGCATAATGCCTGATAATAAAACGAACTAAGAGCTTATATAATGTAATAAAAATATTGCAGATGTGTTATTAAGGAAGTTGACTAGCTAACGCGAGACTAACGAGATAAAGTAATTAGAAAATAACATAATTGAACCAGGAAGTGGATTTCAAAATAAAAAGTTCATAAACACATCTACGTTATTATACAAGAAAGAAGGTGAAAATATAAGTGAAATAGCATTAAAAACATAGTTAATGAAATTGCACGTCGGGCATAAGGCAATTATAAAGAGCAAAAAATCTCGTCAAACTAAAATTTTGAAAACTTAATAATTTTAACTTGATGTACTTGGCTTACCATATTTTTATTTTATTTTAGTTGTTGCTTGTTTTGAAGCACAAAGCTACACAAAGAACTATCCGTGCTCTGCCTACCACAGGTATCGAAACTCGGTTTCTAGCAGTATAAGTTTGCAGACATGCCACTGTGTCACTGGGGGGCAATATTGTAAAAAACAGTTATATATATAATAATATTTTAATGTTTTCTAATGTATATGAAAAGGGTTTCGGATAAAATTTTCAATAGTAATCTAGACGATACATCAAATTTTAAATTTCTAAAATAGATTTGGCAGATGTATATGATTTTTAAATCTTTGCACGACTGTGTGTTTTTGCTTTTCTTGACTGGGCTTAGGTGGTCTGTACACTGAGTGGTCACAAGTAAATAGACACCTAATTTTTCGTCATTTAACTGATTTATGCTAACTAATTTGTGTTTACAGAGCACTATATAAATGAAAAAGGTCCGCATACTAATTTTCTTGTGCTACAACATGCCTAGAACTCAAGGTTCTCTCGAATTGTCAGATTTTGTTAGAGGAAGGATAGTTGGTCAAGCGGATGGT